CGAAAACCTACAGACTTTGCATGCCCAATCTTGTCAAAAAATTGTAACTTTGATACATTCCTGAGCGTCGCGAAACCTTTACTTCGCGCTCCGCCGAAGTAATAAAACGGTCCTTTTACGATTCACGAAAAATAAAATAGGCATTTCACGCTTCACGAAAAAAAAAAGGAGAACGTTTTTCTTTAAACAAAAATTACATACCGTTTCATTTTGAAAAATTACGTCCCTCGATGTAGGCGCGCCTTCTCTTCCCTCTTCCTTTGAAAATTCAGGTTGTTCTACTCTTTCAACTGGTGCAAACTCTAGCCGTTCTCCCTGGTAGACAGCAGTCTGATACATGTTCAGAGGAAGAGTACCAGCCTTATACTTGGTGGTTTGGTAAAACCATGCAAGCTTGTTGTCCTTGTTGACGATTTTGGTCATCTCGGACACTCGCGTCGATGCGCTTCCGCCATTATGGTCGAAATAGACGAAACAGAGGATGAAAATGATGGCTGGCCAAAGGTCACCGAAAACCAGACCAACCACGTTGTCGCAACAGGGATCAACCGTCCTGTCATGGTCACGCAATATCATTTATTACGTAATAACGGTTGTCGAAAATAACAAAGACATAATGAAAATCACGGTTCACGGCGAATTAAACATTTATTTCTCGTTTCACGGCCGGAAAATAATTATGCAAAATCACGCTTCACGGCTACTATGGAAATCACGATTACGAGGAAAAAATTAGCCATTTCACATTTCATGGGGGGAAAAAAGGGCCGATCACGAGTCACGAAAATACCCTTTACCACCCTCACCTTTGTTATTTCGTTACCAACTTTGGTTACGCTGTAACGCAAGTCCTCCTTGCGTGATCAACATGAATATATTTTCTCATGTGTGGGATTTGGTAAAGTTCAGAGCAGAAAAAATATATTTGAGGTTCCTTGGCTTGTTTTATTTTTGTATAATAAATGTCAATCAAGAACAGTTTTGTCCAGTGTCATTGTTTTTGTGTGTGACCTGTGATCTCCCCTGTGACCTAACCTGTGGCCTGTGGTCTGACCTGTGACCTGGCCTGTGGCCTGTGACCTGACCTGTGACCTGTGGCCTGCACTTTAGCCCCGCCGGGCTGCCGGCTAATAAAACGCCATACACGGAACATTCCCGAACATCCCAGAACGTAAAAAAATTAAAATATTTTTAATAGAAAACAATGGTTGTCTTTACACTGGGCTTTTAAGTAAGACTTAAGAGCTGCTAAGTTTTACTTAACCAAAAATTCGTGTATGAAGGCCTAAGTAAAATCTCAAGTAACTTTGCTTTGCATCTCATTAAAGTCGGAAAGTTGAAACGATTATAGAAAGTTTCAAGTGACTTGAAAACCATCCTTATGACCGACTTTCCCTGCGAGCAGAGGTCTCTCACGACGAGGCAAAAATGAGAGAAAGGAGAGAGACTCTCTCCTTTCTCTCATTTTGCCTCGTCGTGACAGCCTCTGCTAGCAGCAGTAGCAGGGAATGACCGCCGACTCAGACCCGTTTTTGCTACTGCCGTGCCGAACTCAACTGATCGAATTAAATTCGACTTTAGCACGGCAGTAGCAAGACGTTTGAAACCAAGTCGTGCTACCGCCGTGCCGAACTCAATTCATGAATTATAAATACATTAGAATATATTTAAAAGTTTGCTAAACCGTTTCTTTATTTTTGTGTTTTGTTTTTGGCAACAGCCGTTCCATTCCACTGTCATTCGACGTCTGAAACAAAGTCGTGCTAATGTCGTGCTGTAGTCGAGCGACAGTCCAGCCAGCTTAGCACGGCAATAGCACGACGTTTGAAACAGGCCTTAGTTGAAAGCTGACTTGCAGTTTTGCGGTTTCTTGAGCTTTAAGAAAGGCGAGACATGTCAATCAATCTTAATTTTGTTGCGTGGGAAAATATTACCTGAAGTCAAAAAGAATCGGTTGTGTGTGAAGCTTTATTTTACTTGAAGTAATTTTAATTACTTCAAGTAAAATGTAAGGTGCTTTGCTTTCTGGAGGTTGACACGAAGTACTTACAGAAAAAAAGTAGACATATTAAATTCGATTCTCCAAGCAGAATACTGCAATGCTGATCGTACTAAAAATTAACTTTGCAAGACATCAACACGACGAGGGACGAAAGACGAGCTCTCCTAAGAGTCCAAGTGTCAAAAAAATATCCTTTCACGCAGGCGTTTTCTCATACTTGGAGATGATAGCAGTTTCTTTTTCTTTCTTTCCTTATTTTTCGTTTTTATGTTATGTTATGTTTTGTTATTTTATTAATTTTGTTAGTATAATTTTAGGAAAAAATATTTTATTATTATTATTATTATTATTATTATTATATTTAATAATATTTTTTTTCATAAAAAAGAGTAATTTACTTTTTTTCTTGTTCCGGAATATTCCGTGTTCCTGGTTCCTGGACGCCCGTAGAGTGTGGTGACCAAAGAGGTAGCTCCGGACAAGAATATAGAGATAAGCGTGAGCGTTTTGTATATTTCTCTTTGTCAAAGGCTGGATTATGTGTTTTGCTCAAAAAGTTGTTCCGTGGGTGAGGCAACGGAGGGTACGTTGTAACTTAACAAAAGGCATAATTTTTTTTGCACTTTATTGATTTGTAGTAAAGCCAGCTTCCGGCGTTCAGCGAATTAAACCTCCAAGGTAATTTGTCCCATGAGATTGCGAGGGCAATCTCTAGCACGAAGGCGACTGAGTTACTGAGTAATTTGTTCTAAAAGTATAAGGTATTCACCTGTCGATACCTTTCTGATCTTTTCTGTCTTGAGCAAAACTTCTTAAGGGTCCAAGATACACTTCCCAGAGACTCAGATCTGGAAGTGTGCTGTGATTGGTCTACGTTTTTTACCACTCGTTTCAGCAGACGTTAGTGGGGCATGCGTGACGAACCCCTAAGAACGTCTGTGGTGGAGATTAAGTGACTAGTCGAGAGTTGCCGCCCTTACTGACCAAGAGAAACGTCCCAATTAATGAATAAAAACAAAAGATTGTGCATGTTTAGGGAGCTCAAAAAAAAGGTGAAGCTCCTTGTTTGACATGTTCGATTTTTGCAGCTTTCATAACCAGTGCTATCCTTTACTAACTATGATTTGCTTTCCAATGCTTGTCGTCGGTCTTGCACCAACAGGAGCGCCGATCCTTGCCTAGTCCCAAGTCCCTGTACGGCGTCTTTTCAGGCCTTCTCGGTCAATGCATTTTGGTGACGTATCCGAGACTGGGCCGTGACTGGCTCGAACCACGTGACCCGAAACACATCGGCCGTGCGCAATAATGAGGCCTAGGGAGTAGGCATCGCCCGACCCAGGAATCCAAGGGTGCTATTCCTTTTCTTAAGGTGGTTCTCTTAAGTTTTCAACTTTTTGCTGTGTGGTAGTTCTTTTAGGTATAAAGACACAAAGTGTTTAGCATAAATTACCGCCCATTTGCAAACTAAAATTCACGATTCTCCAAGAAACTGACAAAATAACTTAATTATTATCATGCTCCACAAGGTGATTCTAAATTAAACTGAAGTTTGAATATTTTGCTTTCTTCCCTAAAATTTTGATGTTAACCTCATTGGAGAGTTAATAAAAAAAGTTAAATTCAGATGAATTTAGATTAGAAAGGCTCAAAGAACAGCATTAACTAACTATTAAAAAACAATACACGCGTTATCATTGGATTGGTCGATCTGTTGTTTATTTTACTGGTGCATGGAAACTTGTTATATAAAAGCAAAAGATTACATGGAACTCTTTGTTAGCTTAATCACCGGGGAAACTCAGTGATAAACCAGTTGAATGTTGGGAAAAAACCAAAACTTTCGTCCATGTTGGTCTACTGCGGCCGATAAAAAGGATAGATGAGGGTAGGCCTGTCCCGATTGCGCTCGGCAACTTTTGAGCAACTTTTGCCGTTAGAAGCAACTTATTGTGGTTCAAGCAACCTCGAACAACTTTTGCCTTTCTGAGCAATTTTTGAGCAAAATTAGGTTTAGAGCACATCTCAAACCAAAAAAATTTAACGACTTCACCAAAAATTCAGTGAGTGCTTATTCATTGAGCGTTTATCAACAGAAAAGTAAGCCTTAAAAGCAAATTTAATGCACATTTCCATAAATTATACAAAAATGAATAATTCTCATACAACGACCAAGTATTTATAATTGTCTTCGTATGAATAATTACCTGGCTAAGAAATATGTTGTTCAAGGCTCTCATAGTGAGCTTGGGCTACTTCACGTGGTTTCGCCGATATTTGTTTGGGAGCAGCTCTTTAGAAGTAATTTTCAAGCTATTTTTCTGACTGATGTAAACCCTCATTGTGTAGAACAGAGAACAAAGCTTTTAATTATAAAGTAACGCTGAAATTTAAAATGTCAAGAAATTTACGTAGCAACTTTTGAAATGTAGGTGGCAACTTTAGGGATTTTGGCGATTTTTAGCAATAATTTGGTATTCTAATAGGCAACTTTAATTTCCAGAATTTTACGAGCATAATCGGGACAGGCCTAGATGAGGGTCCCCAATAGGGTTCTTCAATCGCGTAGTCCCGACCCAAAATTTCGTGCAGTCCCGTAATTCTGTAATCCCGAGGGTTATTTTTGGTATGCAACCTCCCGCGCATACTTTCAATCCCGAATCTCGCCCATTTTTGCCTTAAAATCCCGAAATCCCGAGTTTCAAATAACGGATATCGAAAAATCTATTTGAGAACCCTCATAGATAGTTGCTTTTAAAGTCTATTACTTAAATTTTGTGGATTTCAATACTGATAAGTGGCATTTAACTTTTGCTTTACATAGTTTCCGCTGATTATTGGCACGTATTTGTTGGACCCATCTAGGCACTCAATCTGTGCGTCAAGATCTGGACGCATAAAGTAGACAAGCGAGCGTCGAGGATGGTTCAAGTAATTCACCTCCTTTTCTGACACCACTACTCGATGGCGCTGAAATGCAATTAACAATCAGTTAGAGAATGGAATGAAGTTTTGCGCCATGTAAGGGAATCCAAGGCAGTCTTGGATTCTGGATTCTATGCTGTGAATTCCGGATTCCAGGTGATGGATTGCGGATTCCAGGTGATGGATTCCAGGTTCCAGTTGATGGATTCCGGATTCCAGGTGATGGATTCTGGATTCCAGGTGATGGATTCCAGTTTCCAGGTGATGGATTCTGGATTCCAGGTGATGGATTCCAGATTCCAGGTGATGAATTTCGGATTCCTTGTTAATGGAACTTGGATTCCGGTTTCCAATCGTTATAGCGGGATTCCGGATTCCTAGAGCTATTTCCGGATTCCAAAGCTCAGGATTCTGGATTCCATAAGCAAAACGTTTCCAGAATCTGGATTATCTTACAATTACATGGGACGAAACGTTTATCATATAAAGGTCGGGGCATAGAATAATTCCTCAAAAAACGTGGGTCTTGGAAAATTTTGGCCCGATTTCGTGAGATCTCGGGTGATTTTGCGTCTCGGAGGCTCGAATTTTGAAACAAGGGTCTCGCAAAGTTTCGAATTTCCATTCTTTACCCCTAAAGGTGGGACCCATAAAGACTGTGACCATTAGTGTGTAGGAAATTAGAGGCAATGTACTCGATTATCGAAGGGGCTCATATAATGTAACATACCGGGATGACTAGTATTTACATATAAGAAAAATGATCATAAATTTAAAGTATTGTTGCCTGACAGATGTTCTTCCTTACTATCATTGTTGTAGCTTTTAAGGGTTTTCCGTTAGATATTTATTAAACGCTCAGATAAACGTCCAGCAGTTGGTTAAATTTGCAGTTATAGCGTGTGACTGCATCTAAAGTGGTAAGTACTAAGCAACTCGAGTAAGGAAAGTACCACAAGAAGACAAAGCCGCTCAAGCAGGTAAAGTACCAAATTAAAATAATATGAGTTATATGCAGAGAGACTATTATTACGTTAGCTTGACACGAAGTACTTTGCTTTAAGGTTATGGTTAGCCAAATAAGTACTAACCAAAGGTTACGGCGTGCGGGCGATCGATTGTTAAAACGCTTTTGCCCCAACGCTGTGCTTTGCGAAAGTTCTACGTGATATAATATGGTCAAATGCGCGTTATCAGATTGCGTTTTGTGTATTCCATTCATTTTTAGTGGAAGTCCAGACGAAGTGCTGAACATGCGCAGTAGCAAAAAAGGGGCCGGTTGCTCGAAGCCTGGTTAGCTCTAACCGTTGGTTAAGAGGTATCAAAATGTATAGGTTTCCATGGTATTTAACGCTGGTTAGCACTAACCATGCTTCGAGCAACCCGGGCAGATTAGGATTGTGGACCCCTCCTGTCGCCCGCAATAATCACACCCAGTCTGCCCCAGTAGGGTCCGAGACAACTTTTATCTGTTATAGGTAATCTGATTCCAAAAAAGCTACTTTTGCGTCACTGTACAGTTTAACAAAAAAATGTTGAAAAAATAAACATAAAACCATTACCCCTGCGATAAGCCTGTCTGATGTCAACTTCTGCATCATGTTTCCAATATTGATGCAAATAGATCCTTTGATGGGAACTGCAGGAACATATTTCCCCTCAGCGGACAAAAACTGTTAGAAAAGAAACAGAGATATTCAAGTAAGGAAGTACATTTTAGTTCCGCTTATTATTATTAAGATTTTCACTGCTAACATTTCGGCTTCATTTCTCCAATCCTCTCATGATACTGGAAATTCCAAAAATGAGTCGAAGATTAAGGGTCTTAAGTGAAATACTGTAGTTGTTTCGCTCACAGGTCACTTATGCCGACTGCTTTACATGAAAAAATTCTTAACAATTCTAGACATCTCTCCTTCACAAGTTCGCAGAAGTTTCCTTTGTGTAATCGTCGAGCTCATAATCGCGCAGAGCTAGGGTGAGCAGAAAGTTTTCGAAATTCAAAAGGCTCTCCTCGCCTAAACAGCCGACATTTCGCGACGCCAAAGCTGGTTTGCCGCCAATGACGTCTGAGAAACGAGCGCAGAACGTCCATACTGATGACGCATCTTCTGATTGGTTGAAGCAAATTTCCCACGCGGCTCAACCACGACGCGTCGTCAGTATGAAATTTCTGCGCGCGTTTCTCAGGCGTCATTTCGAGAAGAAACCAGTAGGTGGCGTCACTCAGTCGGAGCGACTGTCATTGGTTTGATATTAGTTTCTGTTAATGTCTCACCTCCAAACCTCCTAATTCATCTTGATATAGCATCGTTATGATCCCGAGGTCAGTGTGTTCCCCGCAACGTAGCTGACCAGGTTTCACCTTTGTCGGGTCAGCTTTTGGGTAGTAAGTGTAGCGAAGCGCAGAATTTCCTTCAAGCTTCCCAGTATGTTTGAAAGCAAAGTCAAAAGTTGTAGGATCCTGGGATGAAACAAAGTAGTTAAGTTAATTCAATATCATTTGTGAGTCATAATCCTTCCTGTTGCTGTCAGACTAACAGGATCAGGAATGGGGTATTAATTCGGCTTTCCCGCTCATTTTCACGACAATCTCATGTCATCTCCATCCAGAATACTGTTCTCTTTAGCAATACCGCATCCTGTGCCAAGATTAGTACTTCAGCTTTTGTTTATTTATAAAGATCTCTAACCATTGATCTTCCTTTTTGAGTTCCTCCCTAACTGACTAATTTGTTCTGTGCTCCGTCCATGATACTTTAAAAATTTTTCTGTCTCACTTCATTTCAAAAGCGTTAATTCTAACCCGCCTACAAACTTTTATTCCATTCAAATTCGTTTCTTTAGCTGATACCACGTGAACATAACACACCATAAATGATGGAACGGCTATTCCATTAAGGAAATAAGAAAAAAGTTTAGTAGATTCGCTTTTATGTTCTCTTTATTCGTCAATTTATAGTCAACGGACCAATTACATCGAATTTTAACCCCGCCAAAATGGCCCAATATGGAACTTACCAGACCCATCCCAATTGTGACAGTTGAGAGCACCCTTAAACTGAGCTCATGAGTATCTTTCCATAAATTCAACACATGTTCCTCGAAGTTGGGAACTTCCGCTGGCCAAAGCTGCAAATGACCGATAATAACGAGCAATTATTAACACTGATCCTTGACTGGAACGTTCACGGCGCACGCTATTGTTGTCATTGCAACTTAGTGGCCGTTTTTATGCTAAAGACGTTAAAGTGTCTAGCTATGAACGGTAAATAAGACAGATGCATTTAATGTCTTCTTAAAGTGCGTCATTCAGAATCATTTAACAAACGACTTTCTCGCCTCAGACATAAGAAGTGTCTAGTATGAAAACGGAACGCCGTAAACTTTGAAGCATTTGTGCCCAACTCGTCCAGAAGGGACTGGGAAGAGTCAGTGTTTTCTCTTTTTTCACAAACTCTGTTATTTTTCCCAATCATCTCGACAACTTTTATGCGTCCCGTTTTTACACCAGTCGAGTTTAAAGCAGCCAGTGGTACACAAACTGTACATGGGTATCATCAGCCTAGTCCCTAAGCGTTCTCTTTTGACTTGTTGTCGGCGCGAAGTCTGGAAAAGGGTAAACGAGCCTCTGTTTCAGTGACGTCACAGCTCACGGTAGAGTTCAGGATTGACTTAAGTGAGAACGGCAAGGGAATAGGTTAGGGGTATCAGGTATGTGGGGCAAAAATTTACTACGCGATCAGCTAGTGCGAGTTTTGGAACCAAGATTTCGACCTTTGAAATACTGTAGGAACCGCTTCAAAATTGGCCTTTAACTTTCACTCTCAGTTTTTGGCCGTTCCAGACCCCTTTAGTGTATTAGCGCTATAACTTGTTTCCAGAGAGAGATTGTTTCTCGTAAGTCCCGTAAAATTTTCGGGCAAGGAAAGCTATTTTATGAGCGTCATGTTTGCATCAAAGATTCAAATAATTGTGTTAATTTTGAAATCCTGAAATGAGACTCAAACTTGGCTTGTTTTGTTATGAAGTTTCGCCCACAGTAGCGCCAACAGCCAAAAACCTCACTGCACGAATCCAACACTGGATACGCAACTTCAGTCGATATCTCCTACCTTGAAAACATTACAGTACGCAAAAAATAACTTCCGGAAACTTCTGGAAACTTTGATTCCTCTACACTGTTTCTGAAAGCGTTAATAATCTCTAAGCGTTCCCGGCACAAAACCACGGTTCTAAATTAAGTCCACATGCTTTTTATGAGAACATTTTGCATTGTATTTCAAATCAGGTCACGTTTTTAGATTAATTCTCATTATTATTATCACTACTACGTGTCTACGGGCTGAAAAGTTACCGCACATTTGGAGGAAAAGATCTGACTGGCACTATAGCTGAACTCGTTTGTAGAAATTAAAGATGTAATCGCCGTGAATCTCAAAATGTTAAGTTGCTAGACTTGTTCTTGCAAGTACGAATATCTTAGTGGAGTCACTGTCCAAAATAGTAGAACAAGTCAATTTATCTGTTATATATTATTATCTTATATTCATATCGGTATTTCATCGGATTAAATAGGTTAACTTTTTCAGCTCTCCTTGGTGTGGCTTTTCATTGGATAACTTGGCATCTAGCTATTGACTTACGAAGTCATCCTCCAAGAAATCTTTTATATCGAAGCATTCCTTTAGATCACCTGGTGTCTTTTCTCGCCGATTAACACTGCAATCAAAAGACAATACGTTAAAGGAATAAAACTATAGAACCTATAGAACAAAAAAAGATAAATTTTTTAGGATAACGAAGTCGTTCGCGCGGGGTTGTCTGACGTAAATAGGCCCACTACGCGAATATCAGCGGCGCGAACATGTTGGGGGTTAAACCTCTACCAGCAGGGTGTCAAAAGTACAGTTAACTCTCTCTCGACTCTCTCAGACGGACACCTCTGGGACCGGCACCAAGTTTCCGTCTTGGAGAGATTACTGTCGTATAGAGAGTTCAATAAAGAGAGTAAAGAAAGGCAGGGACCAACTCTAGGTGTCCGATTTACAGAGGTGTTCGTTAAGAGAGAATCGACTGTATTGACAATTGTGTGACGTAACGTTACTCTACAGCGGAATTTCTGATCTCATCTAGCCTGTTCCAGGCGTTCAGATTGTGGGGAAGGCCCAACCCACAATAAACTATCTGAACGACTGGAAAGATCTCAACAATCTTTCTTGAAACACAGACAGCTAATTTGCATTGTCAAACGATGGAAGAAAAGTATGGGCTACTGTTTAATTGTTCCTGAGTGCAATAATTATGCACCGGAAAGTCTTACATGCTAAATTTTTCGTTTTTTCTGCCATATTTCACGGTTTGTTGAGATCCAGAGAATTTGCTTCCATGGCAACGTGACGTATCCCCCTCTCGTCTGTTTCATTTATGAAATTAACTCCATATGCGTAAAAGGAACATTTAAAGCGTGATTGAGAGATGCCCTGCTACTGATCTGATTCGGATCTTAACATCAAGTGGATCAAAGCTTCGTTCAAGAAAATTTCGTTTATTTTTATTTGCGGCTTTCCCCATTCCTATCGTCCCCCGGCCCCGCGCGCTTTTTTTCCCCTTTCCCCCGCCTCCCTACGACGCAAAGAGCCGCCGATCAGCGGAGAAGAGCGTGTCAAGGCGGTTTAGACAACTCATTTTCGCTTAGGTAAGATTGCAAATAGAAAAAAAAAAAATTAACTGCATCGCCCCGTAATTCTTACCTTGATAACTTAGAGCTAGTTTATTTTTTATTCCAAAGGCTCTGTTGTAACAGCAGTATAAAACACATATATGATTTGCGGTCGGATAACAAAGCTGTTTAACCTATGGCTTTACGTGCTGCACTTGTGACTACTCTAAAGAGTTAACTACCTCTCTCTTTCCAATGCGTCCCACCCATTTTGACTGGCCCTTTCCTCTTTTTTGTATTTTTCTTTGACTTCACTTTCCAAAGTGAAAAACCTGTCCCCAGCGCTGAATGCGGCATCAACCTGCAATTAAGTACAGTTATTGCATTATAAACAATTAAACAGACAAAATAAGATAATAATCAGGATAATCGGGTGGTTTCAGCACACCCATTTTCTTGCGAGATTATGTCGATAAAGTCTTTTGTTTAATAACCTCGCGTTTTTAGTAAAGGCAAGTTAGTTATTCTCCGGGGGAGAGATTACTACCTCTCATATATCAAGCTATTTATAGGATGTACGGTCCTAAAGGGTCTGGTTTTTTAACAATTGGCCCTGAGGAGGGGTACTCTGGATTCCAAGTGACGGGATGATCCAACCTAACTTCGTCTTCCGGTCACTTAGACCGAAGGGGTGGAGGGGTGGCGGTTGTGGACAATTGAATGGGGCAAAAATCAAAACCAGGATGTCAAAATCCCTGGAACTGTTTCGAATATTGCGCAAAAATCCCTACTTAATGTCACACGCACAAAAAACTACGACACTTGTTTAAATTTTCTACCCCCAAGAATCTTGCGATCATCCTCCCTTCACTTGGAATCCGGTACCCCCCGCCACCCCCACTTTCCCCGCTGGGCTTTTTTCTCACTGGAACAAGGATCGTTTTTACAAAACGAAGAACTCAACGATATCGTTTGTTTAAGGGACGAACAGAACGTTTTACTGTCTTTCCGCCGTTTTCTCGTGTTTCAACAGTTGTTCAAACTAAACTGGGATTCAAGTCTTCAGTCTTTGCTTCAGTTGAAGACACCCATCGGGACGCCTACTTCTTTAACGTCCTTTCCAATCAAAGCTAAAGCCCCGAAGCCAATACCCTGCCAGCAAAGGTTTCTCTCTGGGATGGCTTCTAGCATTTGCGAAGTCGTTCACGTGGCTTGTCAGTCGCAAATAGAAAAAAGTTAGACCTAGTTAGACCTTGGTGTAAGTGTATTTTAATGCAAAATCGCTAATTATGTTGTGTTCTTAGAAAATATAAAGAGAAAAGTTATACCTTTTCTTGGGTAAGGCCATGGTTGGTAATATAAGCGAATCCCACTGTACTAAAATGCTTCACCATCTGCCTGGCTAATTCTTTTACTGTAGGATCATCACGGTCAGGTACTTGTTCATGTTTGAGGCTCAGCGCTTCGAAGTTCACAATCGGAAGATCATCGGTGGAGCCCATTGCGTGCGATGCAGTGCAAGGAACTTAGAACACTGTAATTGTGAAAAAGATATTCAAGACAGGTGTCCGTTGAATCCTTTTTTGGCACTACAAATTACATGTGTAGCAGCTCTCGAAAGCCTGTATCTGATTGGCTACATGCATTTCATGGGTAGAGAGGGTAGCGTGCTTTATGATTGGCTAATACAGATAAAGATTATCACTTAGATGTCATCGCATCCGGCTTGTTACCCCATTTCACTTGTGTTTTTCGTTCAAATTAGGTCGCATGCAAAATGATTACACAGCTATATCGAGAGGGAGATTTCGGCATTCATTCAAGTAAACCGCAAAAGACAATTAGCCTTGTCAAGAGGTAGTCAGCTGAAGCTTTGATTTTCAACTCATATTCTATGTATCGTAGGTTATCCGTTTACAGTTACTTACTTCGTCTATAGTGTTCAGTACTCGATGGAAAGAAAGTCGACTAAACGGCGTTTAAACCGGCCGTAGGACACAGATTGGCTATGAACTAAAGGTAAGCGAGCTTTTTGAATCAATATTTCGCGTGATCATGATTTTTTTCTTAGCGTTGTAGATTCGAATACATGTGATAAAATTCGAACAATAAGGGCCCGAATCACATGTAATAATGCAAGAAATATCGACCTTCGTTATCTTAAAGGCTACTAGTACAGATAGACAAACAAGAAGACTTCATATCTTTAAGATTTTTGCATTTATTTGGCATCAGCTAATACACTAATAATTCTAGTATATTCCAACCAAATGACCTCTGAAGCCCAAACCCACACATAGTGCGCTTGGGTTGCCTGTGGTTTTAATACCTTTGGTAGTTGAATTGTAAAACAATTTGGCATATAGGCGGTACGCATCGACCAGTTACAATGAGGATTTTCCTGATCAAAGCGTAGGTTTCTCATAAAAGTCATAATTGTGGGAAAAAAATCTGGAAATTTCGCCTTTTTCCACTAGTTTTCCTGATTATAAAACTCTGTTTCTAGTTCTTCTCTTAATAGGCAACATTTTGCCTGGTCGTGCAATGTATGGCCAGTTATGATGAAGTTTACCAGGACTGGAGCGTAAATATCACCCTCCGATCATAGTTTTTTTTTTTTAGGAAAGAGGAATCCAGAAATTTTTCCTTGTTTAAGTTGTACCAGGGGGGGAAGCCATCAATCAAATTCGTGTAGTTATCAATCAAATGGTTGCTATATAAAGTTGACGAGAGCATGTGGGAGATTGTCGGAGCAAGCAAAACTTGATCGGCAACAACTTGGTCCAACTTGGAACAGGTTAGGGAAAGTATGGCCACGGAGGATGTTCCTAACGTTAGCGTAAGTGTTCTTTTGTAGCATCACAGTTAATTTTGTGTTGTCAAAGTTTGTGATTTCTTCTCACCAGCGACGTTTTGTCGTGACGTACGTACGTGTGTTTTTTTAAATGACTGGACACAACCTACAAGGTGTGTTGTGAATCAGGTATGTGTGAATTCAAATCTGGCCGTAGGCTTGTTTAATTCTTTCTCCAGGGGCACCCAACGACAATTTTTTGAAAATATCTGTTCGGAAGACGATTTGAAATCTAGAATTTTCGGAACATATGTTGTTAAATTTCTCGCTTGCCTGCCTCTCCTAGGATTTTCGAACCCCTCCCAAAATCGTATAATTGCCCATTTTTAATGGATTTTTACCCTAAAAAGGTCACCTAGAATTTTCGGGGCCATTTTTCCGGCTGAAATTTTCGAAAAAGTAAGTTTTGATCCCTATAATTCTCGGATCGCTAGACTTTCAGCTAGGAAATCCGAACAGATGAAAAATGTTTAGGGGATATAATATGCCTGTATCTACCGTATCTACGATATAATATGCCTGTATCTACCGTTTGAAGGCACACCTTCAATTTTGTAAACGATACTTGGAGGTAAACAACAAAGCTTCTAATATAGCTTGTTGAGCAGAGCTTGGTCGTTTTCCTTTAAATATCACAATCAATCAAAAAATTCTCAAATGCCGCGTGATTTTGTATATACAGTCTAAAGATGAGGAACTTCGCTCTCGTCAAACAAGCTTTTTTTAATGTCATTCGACTTACACTGTAATGGCAAATAGCTTCCACTCTCATTTAATGAATATGTCAGTGAGAATACTTTGTGGGGGTGTGTTCGAGCAACTCGCTCGCTACACGATGAGGTACCAGGAATCTGATTTACATCTTCCTTTTATTCTTCTTAATCTTCTTACAACTTCTACTTACTCTACTACTACACTACTTCTCCTACATCTCCCTAATAACTAGTTCAAGTATAGTAGCGGTTTTAATAGCCAAAGCTGGACATGTTTGGGTTAACTGACCGGAAGAGTTTCTATTGTATATCTTATCTCTAACACTCGGCAACAGGTTTGCTCTCGTTAGGGAATAGACTAGCCTACGCACAGCCACAACTGATAAGTACCAAATAACGAAGGTCAGCTCTAACACCACAAACACGACCACCTGTAACATTCCTAATATGGCAATAAGTAAATTCGCGAGCTAAGCATAACTTCAAGTACAAGTAAAAACAAAAGATCAAAACAGGAAAACAGTATATCGAAGTATACGTGGACAAAAACAAGACTTAACGAAACAAAAACTAAACTTAAAAAATAGGATAGATCCGTCTTAAAAATAACTTTCAAAATACTCCACAACAACTTTAAGCTTCCTGACTTTAACCCTGATTTATTAGATATAGCTATGGTAAAAAGCTATGTAAGTTCAATGAAACAGGAATATATCTCACATTGGCAAAACACCCTTAACTTCAACATTCTCAAAAACTTGAATTTTATAGATCTTTTAAAACCGATCATACCTCCTGTAGTCACTTAGACTTAACAAGAGGAACAGCTGGGAGAAGGGCTTTAGTAAAACTACGAATAAGCAATCACAAACTAATGATAGAAATAGGCAGATACAATCAAACTATAAAGGATAATAGCCATTGCCCTTTTTGTGGATGCAATGTAATAAAAGACAAAGTTCACTGTCTTTTTCAATGTCCTACATACTCTATGATTAGCAATAAATTTTACTATAAAGTCAAGACTCTGATTCCAAATATTACCCAGTTACCTATAAACGGTTTGATCAATGAACTGATGAACTCTTCTAATTACTTTATCAATGTACAATTCATAAAATATATTTCAGCTTGTTTTGATGTTCGTGACAAATTATTATCAAAGTAACGTAATTGTCCTGTGTTGTAATTCTGATTCCTAAACATAGCTTTTGCAGTACTGTATGTGTTCGTATGGTCATGCAAATAAAGCTCGTTGTTGTTGTTGTTGTTGTACACCGTTTAAATACTAAAATACGTTCCCCAAAGCTATGTTTAAGTGTTTTTGAACTATATTCTCGTTGGGTGCCCCTGGTGTCTATAGACTGGTGAATCTTTCCCATATTTAATAAATGCCGCTTGTCACTTCTCAATCATAGATTTCAATTTCACTGTGATCCAAGGTTTGTCATATACATGAGTTTTTACTGCTCTAAGTACAAAACCTTAAGCGAGTAAACCCTCTTTCGTGTAGAATAATCGCCTCCTCATTTCTCGACCTAATCTCCAAGCAAGCCAGACTGAGGTCGCTGTAAGCGCGTTCTTGTTACCCGGCCTTCCTTTCAGGAAGAGACGGATATAGTTTTGGCCTTGTTTTTTATTCTTCGTCGTCGAATCGCCCTCTGGTGTTTAAAGCGCATGCCTGTACTGGCGGATTATTACGTGATCGATTTCCGGCAAATTCTTTAATGGCTTACAAAATCTCCTTTACATGTTGTCGAGAACAAAAGGCAGCTTTTTTGTCGGTCGGTAGCGTTAACTTTGTGGTTTTGTTGCCTCTATGAGAGATCGACAATTATTTTGCTCGAAATGTTTAGTGATATGTGTTGTCTAGAGGATAATGTATCCAGGAACTGTCAGACAAACACAGTCGCCCGATCCTTTTAATCGAGATCGGCGTTGCGATCGCTGGTTGCGAGAAGAAGAAATGCTAAAAAGGTGGGTAATGCTGCCATTTTATGTTTAGTGCAAGTCACGAGAATTTATATAGCAGTTGAAGAAACACTACTGGGCTTTGTTTTGGCGAGTAAGCGTGTAACGAGGTGCTAGGAAGAAGCAGTTTTATATAAACGTATGGACCTTTTTTGTGCTAAATTGTACAACTTAACTGTTTCAGAAATTTTATGCTTTATAGCTTTCATCGCAAAACAGTAAGACACATTAGAAAATTTAAAAGCAGAGAAATTTCTTTGATTTAGTAATATAACATAGTTTGCACCTAGTTGCAGGAAAGTGGCAGTAATTACCGTTTCCGTGCATTAATTTTCAGTCATCAAAACAAACAAATCTGACTGTTCATCGCAGAAGTGCTTGGTCCAAGTCCCGTGCTTCCCGGCTGTCTCGGTATAAAAACGAAAGAAATATTCTTTGCCTTTTTTTTTGGCATATATTGATTAACTTGCATCGAGCTCGCACGGAAGCGGCAGGTTTGTAAAGCACGTAGAGTTGTTTGATTCTAAAATTCGACATGATTTTGATCGATCTAACAACATCTCACTGTTAAATTAAATCAAAGATTACATGTAAGCCTAGAGCTTTTTAAAAAATGGGCGATTGCTTACTATTGAATTTCGATTTTGAAAAACTCCATTTCGATCGATCCAACATTATTAGAAATTTCAAAATTATCTATGCAAGAAATTTTTCTCTTTGCTGTGTTCAGCTACCGTACATTCAAACTTGCAATTTTTAAAAAAGGATCTACAAATCGACTATAATATTCTGTATTTTAAGTTGGTTTTTGGATTATCCTCAACGAGGTACACAAGGGTATAGGGTTGGGTTTTCTGCGGTTACTTCTTTGCTTGTTGTTGAATCAATAACAAGGCAATGAAATATTGACATATCCTTTATTTATTTACTTTTTTTTCAGAGAAGATGGACTTGATCCCAAATCAAACGATAAGTGCAGCAACACAGTTTTCTGATGATGAATTAACTAAAAGAAGATGCCGGTAGTTTGTCTTTGAAGTACCTGTATCAGAGTG